AATCATATTCACATCCTGTGTGATACTTCAGGCTCTCAAGGCGACGAGTATGAAGATAACTGTCTTACGGAATTTTGCACAACTTCCCAGAAGACAGTCTCTTTATATGGTATGTCATATATTTCGAAGTTTTGCTTCTAAAATATTTAATATATCTGTCACTTTCTCCAGGCGTGTCTAGTCTCAGTTTACTACGTACATAGAACGAAACAATAAGATTATCCCATAGACTATAGGGGCATAACAAAAGGGTGAAAGGTTATCGGGTTTTTGGAGAGTATCCAAAATGCAGGCCTGAAGAGTTCTTTAGAATTTTTGAAAGGAACTAATTTAAATCAGCAGGTTTCATTTCAACGTCCACTCGATGTAATCTAATACTTAACATGTGCATTACACAAATCAACTCCCCTGGGCTATACTCTCACGCAGGTTTCAATTGTATGTTGAAGTGTAAAAGGTAAAAATGATTTAAGTAGGTCTAAAAAAATTCATGAAAACTGTCCTCATTGCGAAGCTGATAGTTGTTTAGTTAGTGGGTAAACAAAATCAATCAAAAGTGCGTGCCTTTTCTGAGCCACGTCAATATAGTACAGACCCTCCCATTCTATTCCTTAATATAAAATTTAATATTATTCTTACATCTACCCCTAGCTCTTCTGAGTTGTCTCTTCCCTTAAAATCTTGTAATCGAAACAAATTACGAATTTCTCCCCTCAACCTTGTTTGTTTAATCAGTCTACTAATATTTGGTGAGAAGTATAGAAAATAGAATGTGTAATGGAAGGCAAGACAGACTTAAGGCCCAGCAGAAAACATTGTTACGGAATCAGAAAACTCGTGGTCGGTTTGGCCAAATGCATTTGAGGACCAGGATGGTTACGTAAAACACAAGACACACACAGTTGCTCTGTGAATGTTTTGACAAAATTAATACAGTTGCATTTAGTTTCGTAAAATGGGAATATACTCTTACTGAATGTTGTAATTCTTCATCCATGACCTGCAAAATGTAGTCAGGGTCTGTGTTTGAGTCGTTTCGGGAGGAATTAATAGGGGGAGATGCTTTGTTGTTAAATTTCCCATTTGTGTACGAAACGGCTCTGGAGATAAGAGAAGTGAAATTTGTCTCTGCTTCTGTTCCCCGGGAAAGAAGTCTAACTTCCAGATTATGTTTAGAAGTTTGAAATCTGGTTAAAAAGTCTAGAAAGCGAGTCGGTTCTTATTAATTGATACTGAGTAGAGTAGCTTCTATATTTGTGGTCTTGATGAGGTTGTTATAAGGGCAAGTTTAATGGAATTACTTTTATTTTACCTCTCATTTATTTAGTTAACATAACTTTGCAGGTTTGCAAGATTCTATAGAATGAATGTGCTGTTCGTGAAGATTTTGAAGTATTGAGTAATTATTAGTAATATTTTGCAGTAATAAGTTATGTTGCTAACGTTCGTTCCCCTTTATCGGTGCTTATTGTAAATATCATATATTCCTCGTGATTAGGTAAGTTATTTTGTAAACTTAAATGAATCCTTGTTCAAGTAGTTTTCTGCGGGTTCAACTTTTTATGTGAACTAAGCCACCAGTGATTTTTCGAATTTATTGTTGTGATTTAAAGTATAGAGGAGTGTTTAAATAATTCGCCTCCTTCTTCTTCATTTGTTTCATTTTCTCGTCGCTCTCCACATTATTTCTACCATTCGGATAGGTCTATTAGCTTCCTATATTCTCGCTTAATTTATCTTTTGGCTGGAGAGTGAAGCTGATATTTCCACTTCCTGTCGATTTTAAGACGCGTTAAGTTCTACCTCCGCTCCTCCATGAGCCTTGTCGGCGTAATGCTTAGAACAGGAAGAAATGTGTCGTTACATTCCGTACTCCTTGCCGAAGCACCCGTTTCACCTCAAAGGTATTCTTATAACAAACTCTATTTATATTTATTCAGTGTTCTGTCTGACGACAGGTCCATATGAACAGGATCTTTCCATCCTTTTCTCGGACTGGAACCTGTTCATATACGTTCTTGGCAGATGATCCACAAGTGGTTTGCCATTGCCTTCTTCTGTGTGTGAATGGAGTAATTGTTGGGATGCCACGGAGAAACCGGGGAAGCCCCCGGAGGAAAACTCCGTGTTGCCTAGACCACGGCCTTGCCCAACACAAGTTATAAATTCGGGCACCGCCGGGAATCGAACCCGAGACTAACAGACTCTATTGAAATAAAAGTCGTTTATTTATTACGAAAAACATATAAATATATAAATTCATTCCTCTTTCAGACGGCCTTCCGTGGAATTATTGAAATGAACTGTACTGAAACAATGAAAGTGCTCTTTTATTATGACAGTCTTATGAATATATATGACCTTAAAGGAGAATGGTCCCGAAAGATGTAGTTTTTGTTCTTGAAACTTGTTAAAAATGAACTGTACTGTAGTAACGAAACTGCTTCAGTCTTTTACACACCTGCTACTTCTTTGCGCATTAACAAACACATTAAATTTAACTCACTGCAAGAAATCAGCGCTGAATTATTCTTACTTACTTATTTATCTATTTCACGCTAAAGAAAAGTAAGGATGTGACTTCTCACCCCTCTTATATTATATTCCGTCGAGATTATTTTACTCTAAAGAAAAGTAATGATATGACTTCTTACCCCTCTTATATTATATTCCGTCGAGACACTACATAGAACATGCAATGGTTGTGAAGCGACGACATATAGTGGACAGAGATTACTTTATGTTGTGTATAAACCATGAATTGTCGCCTGCCAACGAAGGAAACAGGAGAAACAAACGAATATTTGTTCCATATAATTAATTTTTGCTAAAATTTCTTATGGATTTTTATTGTTATCTGCTAGGTAAACCTATCTCTGTCTGTAGCTAGTTTGCATTCTTCTATTACAAAATTTAATATTCTTTAATTTATGATCATAATTACAGGTTTCGCTTAACCCAGAACAGGGTTTGTATGCTGTTTAGGTAGATACAGTCATATTCCAGTGGGCTTTGCTCGAACTGTCTAGTTACACGGGGGAGTCTCGTGATTGAGGATCATTTGGGGCGGGGTAGGCATTACGCAGTGCATTAGTTGCTCAACTTTCTTTCATACCGTATTACGCAGGGAAACTGAAGCCATTATGCTAATTAAATAACGCCAGGATACGTATATTGCGTTAATTAATTTAATGAAGTTTCTAAAAGCTATGCCTAATTTATTAAATATCAGGCCAGAAAATTATTGATTGCCTTTCAAGAGTATGGAAATAAAATTAGTAGAAATATAACACTTTTAAATAATCTCAAATCTAATGGAAAGGGCAGTGTGGTTTAAATTTCCCTCTTGGTACTTTTTGTAAATATGTTTTTAGCTTTAAATACAAACACATTAAAAATAGGATAAACTGAAGAGAACAGACCACTTGAGAAATTAGGCTTTTATGGGAGGGTAATATTAAAATTATTCTAAAAGAAATGCAAGAATGCGGGGAATTTCATTACCAGCTGAGCAACTGTTAGGTTATCGAGAAGGACTGTGTTCTATGGAGTCAGGTTGACACCACTGTCTTCGTACTTTGAGTTATGATATTTGTAGGCAATTGCAAGATTTCCTCTTCACAAACTTGTCTTCATATCTGTTCTTGTTTTACGGAAGAGCCAAACTTTAACTTCAGGGATATGGTAGTAAAATCACGGAAGAGACAAATTTTAACTTCAGGGATATGGTAGTAAAATTCACATTTGTGTCTTTGTGTCTCCGTCTCTGAAAAAAATCTTTAAATTTAATTTTAAAATATAGAACTGCAACAATATCTCAAAAAAAGATAGAAGAAAATGTTACGTCACTAGTTTAGTTATTTACAAGAAGAAATGTTTGGAGGGGAGAAGCAGGTTCCCTGGGGCTTCTCTTCATACTTCGGGCGAAATTGTCATATTTCTACTTGGAGTTTATTTCATATTTCTTGAACGTAGGAAGTGGGAGGGGTGAATTTTTAACCCAAAAAGAAATTCCTTCTTACGTAACAGCTGCATATCAATTTGGGTTTTATTTTGTTGTCTGTACACAACACAACATTTTTACTTGATTACACGTTTCAAACTTATATCTACCTGTCTAAACGGTGTTGGATCGTGATGGTGAAGTATTGCAGTCAACTCTAATATATAACCTCGAAGATACACACTGATTTACAGAACAAATATAAAATTTAAGTCTAACTACACAGATTTATTATTAGACTCATCTAAAGACACAGCGTTACCCTTTTTTTAGGATTACAAATTCACAAATGCATATGTGACGAATACTTTCACTAATTCTTCATTTCACGTTGGAATTAATATTGTAACATACTGGCCTATAATAAGTAGTAATTAAATTAAAAACGTTATAATGTTGGGACAGGGTAATTATCTGAGTTGACTGTTTCACAGACGCTTTGCTTTGCTCTGCTCCTCGTGATAACAGATCGTCGTTGAGCGAGGGCTCACATTTATATACAGAAAGAAAGTTCACCCAACAACAAAGAGCCCTTACCGCGAGAAACAAGCAAAATCTACAAGACAAATCATAAACATATTATAAAGAGAGTTCTATATTTCATATTTATTTCACTGATGCCGTACATTAATTACCATCAGGGTAGTAATTCCAGAAAAGTGACAATCAGTGTAATCTAAGACTAGGGGTACATTTTATTGTTATGGTTGAGATTCAGCAATGGCGTCATTTAATATGTTACCTATCTCCCGAATGGATTTACTCTCTAAGGTTGTATTTATCAACTGGGTTTCTAAAAAATAAAGAGTATTACTATTTTATAAGACTGCTAACATACTCTTATGAATTTAGTTAGTTTTACATGGATTTTGTGTTTGTTTATTCCTGTTATTTTAATGACGCTCATGTACGTTTTGAATCTACACAGAAGAGGTAACTGTATTTTTTTTTTCTGGACCTTAAAATTGTACGGCAGGAGCGAATGTTTTTAGTTGACTTAATACATCGGTCTCAGGAGCTCCTCTGCAGACAGTTCGCCGTCTTGATCAGCGTCAACGAATTTGTGCACTATGATCCTCGCCAGTTCTGGGTTAGTTCGCAGCTCCTCCACAAACCACTCTACAGGCAAACTGTAAACACATCACAAGTAAGTTTAGCGACATCCCATCAACTGAGTCACTATGGTGCTTTGTTGTTTTAAAAACTGGCAACAGTATGTTTATAGCCTTTCAATTGTAAATGTTACGGAAATAATACAATACCGACTTCCATGTGACTTGCCATGGGTTGGTAGGCTGGGGTTAGTTTCCGCGGCGGACACGAATTTATATTCTCGACACTATGTCTGGGGTCACTGAAAATTGCATTTGGTATCCCAGCACATGACGGGAGGAAGAATGCAGGGGAGGCATAAGAATTCCATGTAATAGAAGCAGAAGATGGGGAATTCTTGCTTTACTAAAAATTGGAGTTGTAATATCATTTATTGGCGAATATTGGTATGACCGCACTCATCGCCTTGATAATGGAGGCAGCAATCACCTCTGAAAGGTCAGTAAACTTTTGCCAGGC